TGTGTGTGTGTGTGTGTGTGTGTGTGTGTGTGTGTGTGTGTGTGTGTGTGTGTGTGTGTGTGTGTGTAGCCCTGTTCTCCTGACCTCTGCTCTCCCTCCTGCCATCCCTAATTGTAGCCCACAGTCACTGCTTCTTTCATCTAAGGTCACAGGTTCCTCTCTTTCTCCCTGCCTTCTCAGTCTTTCTCTCTCCTCCTCACTCCATTTCTCTTTCATGTCAGATTTTTGACTTCGAGCCCCAGTTCTTTCCTTTCCCATCTCTTTATTTATCTTTGTCTGTCCTCTCTCTGTAGTCTTTGATGGATGACCAGTACTACTAATTGTTCTGTGCTCACCAGCGTTGGCCTCACCACCTCCTCCTCCTCCTCATAGGTGGCCTTCACAACATATCAGTAGTCAGTGGTGCAGATGTCTTGTAATGTTGTAATGTCACCACCCCCTACCTAAGCAGTAGCCAAATGGGTAATTAATGAGCTTTCCTAAAAATATCTAGACTTTTTTTTTTGTCCTTAGTCCTGACATCCCCAGTTTTGGTTTTAGTCTTTCTTTTGCTCTTTGGACTTTCCCACTGTTATTCTTTTAATAGGAGGTGTGTGTGTGCGTGTCTCTGTGTGTCTGTTCACTTCAGGTCTTCTCATCCATTAGCAGATGAGAACAGTAATTTCACACCGGCCTGGCCAGGCTAATTATCAGGATCCACACTTGGTTTGGGGAGAAGTGTGTGTGCATGTGGACCCACAAAGCAAAATGTGCAACTATGTGTGTTCCTTTGCAGAAAACTGTAAAGCAGAAATTTGTGTGTGTGTATGTGTGCAGATTTGTAGCACCTGTGCATATTTGAACGTCTTTTTTTATTTTGTGTGTGTGTCTTTGAGTATGTGTGTGCTTTGCTTGTGGAATGCGTTCAAGAGTGCACGCAAATGCCTCGGTGTTTTCCAGGTAAGAGAGTTTCCCTGCTCACTGACTCGTTGTGATTCCTATAATTGGGTCCCGTTTGATTTTTGCCGACCAGCACCCCAACCACCTCTTCCTCCCCTTCTTCCCCCATCACCCCCCTTATTCCTCTTCCTTCTCCTCAGCAGTGGAGAGGACTCCTGGGTCTCTGCTGTTGTGACCTGTGGATGTTGTCACTCACTCCCATCTGCTGTCTGTCCTCTCATTCTGACTCGTCTGTCATGTCCTCCTTTCTTTCTGAATTAGATTTCATTCTGTTTTAAATTGGGGACCAAAACAAAGCCCTCTGGCTGTACTGTGATGTATGTAAAAAAAATTAAATTATTATTATTCAAAAAAAAAAAACAATAAAGGAAATATCCAAGAGCCATTAAAAAGGTTACCTTTTACCCAAGGCCCTCTGACTGAACCTTGTGTAAAAGTCCCTTTAAAAGAAAAACACATTGTGTGTTATTTATTTAATTTCATATATTTCATTATAACAGGTTAGTATTTTGTCTTTCCTTCCTTCCTCCATTTATTTTGACATTTGGGACCAAAACAAAGCCTTCTGGCTGAACATTGTCATTTTTAGGAACCTTTTCAAATGCCGAACATGGAAGTTGTGTGTGAGTTCTTCCTGTTTTATTTTGGAAGC